ATCCCCTAAGTGGAAGTGAAATCACCAGTGACGTGTTCAAACTCCCCATTCATTTGCCGGCCCAAAATCACGCAATTTCTAAACCACATGTTTTCGAATAAAGGTCAATAATAATTGACTGATTATTTGCTTATCTGGAAATTTTCAATTATTCCATTTTTGAATCACCAACCAAATGTAACCGAACACGTACCCATGCTTTCTATTTGTTAATATTTTTTTTATATTAATCTATATTGAATCCGATTAATTCAAAATTGAATCACATTAAATCTTATTAAAGAGAAAATTTTTTTAACGTCTGTTTATTTATCCATATACTAAAAAAAAAGGAGTTTATCTAATTTATTTCTTAAAAATATAATTTTATTATAAATTTATATTAAAAAATAAAAATTAACATTTAATTTATAAATTATTTAATTAAATTCATTTACCTAACGTTAATATTAAAATTAAAATTAATTTTTATATTTTTATATGTATTTATAATAAAAAAAACACTATTAATCTGCATCACAAAGGCACGAGTAAAAAAAAAACAGAGAAAAAAATACAGATTGTATTGGGGGCATAGTTAAGTTAACCTTCTATTTTGTTAAGTTTATATAATGTTATTTAATTTGATTTTAAAAATAATTTATAATTAATAAAATAATTATTCTTTATTTATTTTGAATTTATCATAAGTTAATTGTCGTTTTTATTTTTAAAATAGATAAATATTTTTTTACTTTAATTTTATTTTTATCCATTTACTTTAATTAATTATTTAATCAAAAAAATTTATTTTTGTTTTTATTTATTTTTAAAAATATTATAAATAAATATAAATATTGTCTTCAAAATTTTCATTTAATTAATTATTTAATCAAAAAAATTTATTTTTTTATTTATTTTTAAAAATATTATAAATAAATATAAATATTGTCTTCAAAATTTTCATTTAATAAAAAATTCAAAAAAAACAACATTTAATTTGAAATAAAAGGAAATATTTAACAAATTAAAATTAATTTATAAATTAATATTTTAAAACAACATAATTAACTCTTTAAAAAATTTATAAATTAATAAAATATTAGTCAAATTAAACATTTATATTGATGAATTGTCAAAAATCAGAATCTCTTCAAAATCTTATTTGGTTATTATTATTATTTTTTGAAAATAGGTAATGGATATTTGGTTATTATTATATACACAAGCAATTTTCAAGGTTTTGAATGTGAAAGGGGCAATTCTTCCACAACCCACATGCAGTCGAGAATAATTTACAAGTATGGACATAAAATTGGATCAACATTAGGTTTGGTGTCACTGTTACACAATAAAGAATAGTGATTTGGTACGGTGACCTATATGGCCGGAATTGCAAATAGATGATGACAAGATATTAGTACAAGATTCTCCTATCCGACAAGTTCTTTCATATAAGATCTTGTTGAATCTTGTACGACAATTGGTGCTACATTTCGTCCATAACATAGGATAAAGACACGATGTTAAGTAAAAAGAAAGCAACCATTCTTATTGTTGAACAAAAGCCATTTAGTGTAAGTCTGAGTGCGCAAACACGGCCCATTTCATTTTGTCTTTTTTATTTTTTATTTTTGGATATTTTATTTAAAAAATGTTGAACCAATGATAGCCCGAGCATTTCTCTGCAAAGATAAAAATATCAGGGATATCGACTGATCTCTAGAAGTTGCAAGAAATTTTTGTCCTTTTCTTTAGTTAAAGGGTACGGCATGAGCCTTCGATGCTGAGAACATGGAGGCACATGTATGGTTCATGTCATCCAACGCAACTCCTGCTTTATTACTTGCTCTCATCTTTGCAATTGATTGGCTAAGCAATCATGTCCCCCAGTTCCATGGGACCATTTGCATGCCTTCTCTAAATTCTGGTTATGAGAATATTTTAATTTTTTTTATCTTGATTGTATAATAAAAAGCAATCATTTCTTATTTTTTTATTTTACTTCAATAGTATGTCATGCGATTTGAATTTAAAATTTTTTACGTTCAATGAAAAAAAATGATCACTGAATTATTTAAATCATTATCAATACCTTAATTCTACATAAGGAGAGAAGAGTACGATTGCAATAAGTATTATATAAATAAATATAAAGGCTAATTACTATTAAAACTTTAATTGGAATTTTTGAGAGCTTATAATTATGGTCCTTAATTCAAAAAGTTTTTTAAATCAATAACAATTTTGAGTTGTATTGATTCATATATCGTGCTAAATTTGAAGTAGTTCTGCTTGTGGGCTTGTTGCCTCCATGATATATGGAAAAAAAAAATCAGCTATTTCTTCATAATTAAAATCAATTAGTTTTCATGAATGCTCTAAATTAAAATAAGGGATGTGCCTTAAAATTACATGGGAAAAAATTAATATTAAGGTGCATAAAAAAACTAATTTTAGAATACTCTAATTATAAATATATAAAATAATAATAATTTCAACTTTTAAGCATGTTTTAAATATATGCAATATTATTGTTGCGGATTGAGATATTTGACTACTTGCCTGCCTTAATTCCTTTAGCACTCTAAATAGGTGCTCTTTCCTCTCCGCAAGTGGTCTATGTAGACTCTTCGAATTATATCC